GTATGTTCAAAGATGATGACAATATTATTTCTGGATGGATAATGTAAGAAACTTTTATGCTCAAAGAAGATTCTGTGTTTATAGATGGATATTGTTAGAAATTTGTATGTTCAAAGATGATGACAATATTATTTCTGGATGGATAATGTAAGAAATTTTATATTCCGATATGATGCAGTGTCTCAGGATTGATAGCCTCAGAAGTTACCCAATCGATTTAGCATAAATTTTAGTTGGAGCTCAAAGTGTAGAATAAAAGCTTCGAATAAAAAAAAAATATATATTTTAATTATGTAGAGGTCGCTATAATTATTTTTCTCTTAGATTGTTTTGTTGTTTTTCTTTCTGATTAATATTAAGTGCTGTCTATATATATTTGTTGTTCTTAAAACTAATACTGCGACCAACGTCTTTCCTTCTTTTTAAATCCGCAGGGCGGCGATAACGACGATAAACGCATCCCTAGGGGCTGGATTGTGTGGTATCTTGTTTACGTATGTTTTGTTTTTTTTCCCTCATTTATAAGATACTTTACCTAAAACACTTTTAGAGAGGCGAATCACTATATGGTCGAAATACTAAGTACGTGTGTGTCAAAACCGAACATCTGGTATCATACACACGCCCCCTACCCTTAACCGAACTTGAAAAAAATAATAACATTTTAAAAACACAAACGTGGTTGCTCACATTTGTCCTCTAATGGCTCAGTGGAAATTCCTAAAGCTTATAACGCTAACAAGAGGGAATTCTCAATAGCCGCGGCACTTGAAATTCTTTTAGGAAGGATTAGAGTAAATTAATATATGAGACATTTTAAGCGTGGTCTGTCAAAAGGGTGTGGCCTCCTGAGTCCAAAACTGTAATTATATCTCAAATCAATGAAGAGATGACGGAGCTATGAGCTAAAAGTTTGTACTTGAAAAAACAAACAAACTCGGGGCCATTCTATGAGCCGCTATGTTGCGATTAAAAATTGAGTTTAAATACCCGTTATGGACACAGCACTGATAGCCTACTGTGTAGTTTTGTCCAACAAACAGAAAAAACATACATTGATTCTCATTACATTAATAACTATATATATAACTACAATCTAAACGTGACAGCCTATCAGAAAAAGTCTCATAGGTTTCTTCATATGCACGGAATATCACTAGTACATCTTTCTTCGAGTCATCATCAAAGAACAAAGGATTTTTATATTTGACAAAACCGTGAGAGTTCCCGCCTTTTTCTCAGTTAACTACACCTGTAGTGGGATAGAACCTTTATGTCAAAAAATAAATGTTGGTGAAAATTGAAATCATAGGTTGCTTGTTTGTTTTTTGAATTTCGCGCAAAGCTACACGAGGGATATCTGCGCTAGCCGTCCCTAATTTAGCAGCGTAAGACTAGAGGGAAGGCAGCTAGTCATCACCACCCACCGCCAACTCTTGGGCTACTCTTTTACCAACGATTGACCGTCACATTATAACGCCCCCACGGCTGAAAGGGCGAGCATGTTTGGTGTGACGGGGATTCGAACCGCGACCCTCAGATTGCGAGTCGAGTGCCTTAACCACCTGGCCATGCCGGGCCATCATAGGTTGCAGAAAAGATCAACCTTTCCGGGTCTAAAATCAGAAATATTTCAAACCCAACCCTTTCCTGGACTAGAAGAGCGAAAATCCTACACTTTCGGGTTGACTTACCCTTCCCAATGACCGATATAGGAAGCGCTCCATTGGACACACACATACACGCATGAACACATGCATATGTATTTTTACAAAGAAGAATTAAATATAAAAAAACACCTTCTTTGACAAACAAAAATATATAATATGTCACCAAGTGAAACAAGAAAATTTTATCCTACATTCATCACAACTATGAATGACATACTATTTTCAAGTTGTAGAAGTCCTCTGCTTAGATTTTAAAAAGTAACAGAGATGCTCCAAGTTTGTTGTTATGCGTTAAGTGTTATATAGGTGTTGTTCTTACTGTATGTTAGAGGAATAAATCATTCGTACAATATGATAACTGGTAGATGTGTTGTGGAATTATAGAAAATAAAGTGACGCTTTATATATATATTATAAAATTAAAGAACGTAAGAAAAATCTGACGATATATGTTGTAAGATTGTGGAACAAATCTGACGAAATATATATGTTAAGAAATTATAGAACTTTGGGAAAATATGACGACAACATCTTAAGAAATTATAGAATCTTAAAAGAACTATTATGTTTTTGTTCTTGTTTTGTTTTTCACACTAATGTCTTTACAACTTAGCACGTGTTTGGTGTTGTGAGATGTTTTACTTTCACATATTGATCTTATATTTATAAAACAAAGTTCCAGAAATATGTAGTACTGATGTTAATAATTTACTCTTGTGAATTATTCAGTCGAAAAGTTGTTTTAAAATATAAAATTAATTTGTAAAGCCAAATCTACTATTCGAATTACCATTTATCACCGAGTTATATCGGTTTCTAGTATTTCCCAGACTGATATAACCAGTGGCTGGTAGAAAATCGAATGATACTTTTTGATATTCACATTTATTTATTACTATAACATGTTTGTTATAAGTTAATTAACTTAATGATTGCCCATGTTTATTAGGTGCTATTGTAATATAAAGTCTTGTACATTACTCATTCGCTCTCTACATATATATATTTTTTTATTTTACATCTTCAGGTATTTTAAAAACCGGAAGTTTGAAATTGGAGATATTATTAATTCGATTCTTGGTGGATTAGTAAGCATCACAGGTGAGTGTAAAATTATTGCTGCAACAGCTTATATCAATGGGCGGGTTTGTTTGTTTTTTGAGTTATTCGGTGAAAATAGTGCAAGATCCAGTCCACTTAATTAAAAAGAAAATGTTTTAGGCCTACCAAAAGTTCGCCTAGCGATAGCCTAACTTCATAAATACCGCTAGTCACTTATTTTCTAACTTCTCCGGTATCTTCAGTACTTCGAACCCAAACTTAAAATTTACAAACTGATGTAAGAAACAACAGAATAAAATATTCGTTAACTTAACAGTCAGCCCAATATCTAATTCCACGATAGTTTAACAGGCGTTGTTTTTATATCACCAAAAATCATTTCATAATCTTTCAACAATATTACAGACGTCACGTGCTCCCACGTCACTCCGAAACTTCCTCTAGCGAGCAATGCAAACAGCTAAATTAAAATATTAAAAATAATATAGCTTATTACATTATGTTCGACCAAAAAAAAATCGTCACTCTGTGTTAGATATTAAGACTTTTATGAAATTAAAGATCAAAGTTTTTAAGGATATTACAAAATTGTACTCATAGTAGGGAAACTTGAAACCGTTTGGCTCAGTTTCTGTTTAAAGGTAGGGCGAAAAGTATTTGATCGTAAAAGATTCATTGTGAAAAAAAAAAAGACGTGAAAATGTGAGAGTATGTATGAAATATTCTTGCGTAGGAATAAGGTCGTAGTAGTTTGCTACGTTTCTTCAATACATAGAACTTAGAATATTATCAATAACTTCTGATTAAAGTAAGATCAGAACTAGAAAATAAAACTTTGTCAAACAAGAATGCGTTGTCATAAAATATCTCACAAGAAAACAAAAAAACATTATAATGATTAGAATGAATTGTCCATCAGTATAAATAAGAAACTGTAACTGAAGAAAGAGAATGTTCTGACTACAGTTGCGGGTAGTCTAACATATGTTGTGGAAGACAAAGATATTGTAACGTTCAGAAGTGGCATGATAGTGAGTGGACATCTATCAGGTGCCACATTGGCCAAGACAGTTTCATTGGTAAGTTGCTTCAAGTCATCAGCGGTTGAGTTTATTAGCAATGGAAAACGTTGAGTAAAATATCTCTTGCAAGGATGAATTGTATCAACAAACATGTAATGACAGAAGGAAAAAAAAAAGAGAAAATTGTTTAGGTAAAACTTTAAAGTCCAACATGATCAAACAATATTCCAAACGATAGACATTCAGTGCGGGACAACCCGCACCCATCTCCAGTTGTACCTTCAGCAGAAGGATGCAACTAATGGGCTATGGCAATGGGAAACCACTGAATAAACAATTGGACGGGATTAACAACAAGAAAAAATGCCTTTATATATATAGTGTAACGAGCATATTCATTGGGATAATAAGGAACTGGTGAAAGGTTCTGTAGTCCAATGAATCTCGTTTTACCCTCTTTGTACAAAGTGGGAGTAGACAGGTTTGGAAGAAAGCCACACGAACAAATCACCAGTCTTTTGTGGTCGGGTTGTGGGTTGGGGCAGCTTTTCCTGCTGTCATAACTTGGGTCCCTTGGTCTCTTTAGAAAGTAGGATGAATGCCGTAGCTTACCTCAGTATCACTTTCGATCAAATGCATCCAGCGATGCCCAACTCGTGCATGCTTGGTTTGAGTAACATGACGGAGACATCGGGCATCTCCCATGGTCACCACAATCTCCGGATCTCAATCCAATTCAGCATCTAAGGGATGAACTTGAAAGACACATTCGCCCAACACGATCCTCTGCCTACCTAGCCCCATAAATTGTGTACAGTATTAATGACTGAATGGGGGGGGGGGGCAAAACGCCTTCTAGCATCTTATGTATTCTATGCCACGTCATTTCATAGCTGTTATTTGGGTAAAAGGTGGCTCAACCCGTTATTAGGTATAGTTTTTAATAGAATGACCAACCAGTGTTTATGTTTGTGCGATAGGAGACGTCACAGATAAAAAATAAAATATAAAAATCAGGAAGTGTTTACCTTTGGTAGTTTACTTTTGTCCACAGTGTTGAGTCCCTCTGGTGGGACAGCGGTAAGTCTTCGGATTTGCAATGCTAAAATCAGGGGTTCGATTCCCCTCGGTGGACACACACACACACAATGTTGAAAATGCCTCAGTTGTTTAAATAAAATTCCACGCAGGAGCACCACCTAACTCCTGAACTTGAGGTTGATTAGTCTTACGCACATAAAACTTAGTCACCAGATGGCACCAAACAAAAGAAACATAATGAATAAAATGAAGCATTGAAATTGTCATCAATTCTGCATAGATGTTTAACAGAAAAAAATAAAATAAAAACTTGTGACAAAATTACAGTATAATTTCACAGACTAATTATTAGGCCTATGTTTAAACTTAACATGAATTAGAATGACAATGTGGTTTACCACGTGGATTCATTAGTTAGGTATCCCCCCTCTCTCTCAATTATATTTTTTGTGAGTGAAGATGCAACTGAGCAAATGGTTCGGTAACGAAATACGTGAGCTGAGGCCAAGCGAACGTGACGTTTAATACCATGCGTAGTGCTAGTCTCTTTGCATCAGACGAACGGTTTGTGTATTATGGCTCAAAATATTGAAAGGGGGGATACATCACCGTTTCATTAGGATAACTTTCCCAGTATAAATGTATAGAGATATACCATAATATTCTCAAGTAATAAAAATTTGGGCTCATGTGGTAGAACTCTGGATTTCGGAGCTGACGAGCCAGGTTCGAATCTGTGCGATATTTCAAAATATTCTCCGCAATTTAAGCTGTGAGTGCGTTATAAGAGTGACAGGTAACCTTTAGCGTGGATGATGGGTGGTAAGTGCTGCCATCTCTTTAGTCAGTAGTTCACAGTTAGGAACGGCAGCATATAGCCTTAGTAGCTTTCCCATAAATACACAAATATTAATAAAACTTTAAAATAATTTTACATCTTCAAATTTAACCAACTTTCGTTACAGCAAGTATTATTTTTATTTTTACATTTCATTAGTACATGAACTAAATAAGTATTACGTAATCTATGGTATATTAATATTTTGGCCCACCAGTGGCATAGCGGCATGTCTGCGGACTTATAACTCTAGAAACCGAGCTTCGATACCCGTGGAGGGCAGATCACAAATAATCCTTTGCGTGCTTTGTGCTAAACTACAAACAAAATTAATATTTTGTAATATTTTATTGTTGCAGCAAGATTTTAATCCCCAAGCGACTCAGTAGCAACCTTGAATTATGGTTCAATACCCGCAGCGGATAAAGTGTTCATAGTCTATTGTGGACTTTGCACTAAAAAAAAACACAAAAGCAGAAATGAAAATAAAATATTGTTTGTTTATATATTTTATAGCAAAGCCACATTGGGCTGTCTGCTGTGTCCATCACAGGAAATTGAACTCTAGATTTTTGACGTTGCAAGTCTGTAGACTTACCGTTGTCCCTCTAGGGGACCAAAAATAAAGTATAGTTATCTAATTACATTACGTTTTGTATTTCTTAATAAATATTAATAACTAATTAGGGAGACCCGTTTCTTGTCACTCTAAAATCAAGATACACAAACTGTTAAGTAAAACAAAACATTTGAATTTCAAATATATGACATCATCACCCTGTTGAAACCGATAATTTCTAGCGAACTCTAATTCCCCCTTTTCCCTCAGATTAAGTTGAATACAATTATAAACATAAAATTGAAATGTTTTATCGATGTTTACATCACTGTACAGTTTCTCATAAGGACGAGGTCTATAAGTGGAATAACCTTTTTACAACATTTTATTGGCTCCTCTTTTTGCATCTCAGTAATCCAAATCTTGAACAAAGAACAATAATTTCTTTAAAACATACTATAAGTAATGGCTATTTCATTGAATAACGATTACCGTATTCATGTATATTGGATTTAATCTGTTTACCGTTTATAAAACGATTAGTTAAAAAATACAGATGGCCTGTATTCAAAGCGACAATCAATCATATTTATCAGAATGTCCGATGAAGAATACAATATATCACAACATGCAAGGAAATTGTGAATAATGATTTAAGGTAATTTTTTTTTCGCGAAGTATTTTGAACATAAGTTTCAGAGGACAGCACTTCCAATTTCGAGGTCTACCAAGGTAACAGTATTTTACTAAGTAGTTCCTATTGGACAGAATTTTCAGTTTCACATTGCAGCAAACTAATAATTATCGGTAGAGTTCACGTTCGGTTGTATAAAGAAAGAGACCAACGTAAGCGGAAAAATAATTGAAACACTAACACAAAATGTGCAATATTTTCAAAACTCGAGCGCTTTCGAATAGTTTGACTATTCTTCTTTTCGTTTTGAAAATGGTACAACTTTTGTAGGTGATCCTGTGTGCTAACTACAAAACAAGCAACATGGTTCATCAAATAAAAACAGAAATAGTTTTCCTATAAATACGGGTGTTATATGTTCAAATTAAGTATTTGATTTAGGAAGTGATAAACTCGAAATAAAATTTTCGATTTTATACAAACTTTCTGTTCCCACTGCCACGCCCCCCAGTGGTACATCGGTATGTTTTCGGACTTACAACGTTAGAAACCGGTTTTCGATACCTGCGGTGGTCAGAGCACAGATAGTCCATTTTGTAGCTTTGTGCTTAATTCCAAACAAGCAAACCCATTTTCACTTATTAAATCACGTCGTAGGAAAAATGTTTGTTCATACTTTAGGACTTTTTATTTCAGACACGTGGATACATTAATAAAGACATGACAACAAGTATGTCACTAATTAGTCCATCTTTGCTTTGATAAATATAAAAGTAAGAAAGAAGTAATCAATCATATGGAAAGAGATAAGAAAAATAAAAGTGCGAAAGTAACATAACAACGATTTGTCCAGTTCTTTAAAAAAAAATACACCATTTTGAAGCAATAAAAGGCAATTACAAAAATAATTTCCCCCCTAACATATAGTGTATATACAGTCACGAAAATCATCAGGAGGGATCGTCGGGCGCAAGTGACCCCCTTTTGATGGTTATAATTCTATATCCATAACATCTTTCGTTCTCTAAAGTGTTTGTTAAACCTGATACGAACCTTGCTGTGGTTCATGAACGTGATTGTTACTGACTCACGGATTACTTAATTAGGCCTACATGTGTTATTGATTTCAAAAACACATGCGAGAACAAACAAATAGACGGAACACTAATAGCTAACTGGAGTAGCACTGTCTAAGGTAACAACATCATGGACACACACAAACATAAAATACAACAGACATCAGATCAACAAAAACACTTTGTTGTTGTTAAAATGAACTATAGAGCCACATAAAATTGCTCTAAAACGCTCTTCTAATGCTACAGTGTACATCTTGAATACTACAAATATATAAATATGGATATCTTTAATATTTTGTTTCAAAAAAATATATTACGAACTTTCGACTCCACCATTTTGGCAAAGTGAGGCCACTTATAAATAATTGTACATTCTCGCATGTTATGTTCTATTGATCCTCTGTGTAAGTATGAATAGCGTTAGAGTTTACGTTTATATACCCTTGACTTCCTCTGTGTAAGTGTAAATAGCGTCAGAGTTTACGTTTATATGCCCTTGACTTCTTCTATGTAAAGGTGATTAGCGTTAGAGTTTACGTTTATGTGCCCTTGACTTCCTCCGTGTAAAGATGAATAGCGTCAGAGTTTACGTTTATGTGCCCTTGACTTCTTATGTGTAAAGGTGATTAGCGTTAGAGTTAACGTTTATGTGCCCTTGACTTCCTCCGTGTAAATATGAATAGCGTCAGAGTTTACGTTTATATGCCCTTGACTTCTTATTGGTAAAGGTGATTAGCGTTAGAGTTTATGTGCCCTTGACTTCCTCCGTGTAAAGATGAATAGCGTCAGAGTTTACGTTTATGTGCCCTTGACTTCTTATGTGTAAAGGTGATTAGCGTTTGAGTTAACGTTTATGTGCCTTTGACTTCCTCTGTGTAAATTTGAATTCTGTCAGGGCTTGTGTTTATGTTCCATTGACTTCCTTTGGGTAAGTGTGAATACTGTCAGTGTTTATGAATAAATTCATATTTTCCAGCTGGTTGCGCTTTCTTCCGTCCTGGAGAATCCATCTTCATTGGGGCAGTCGGAGGATTGTTCGTCATCAGTATCCAACCGATGTTTGACAAAATCAAAGTCGATGACCCCGTGGGAGCCATCGCCGTTCACGGGGGTGGTGGTTTGTGGGGCATGGTAGCTGTAGGGCTGTTCATCGAGTCTGATCCCTTACTGTATCTGAGTAGAGGAAGAAAAGGTCTTTTCAAGGGCGGTGGGTTATACCTCCTGGGTGTACAGCTACTATCCTGCCTGTCTATCGGTGTCTGGAGTGTCACTACAACATTTTTGATGTTAAAGGTAACACATAATTATATCGAACAAGACACTATCTTGAAAGTAGCAAATGAGTTGAAATAAGTAAAAGTCTAGTGTATATGAGCGTCGTCGGTCATAAGATAGGTATATAGAATATATATAATAATCTGTTAGGTCCCGAATAATGATATATAATTATTCATAAAAAAGCCCAATTTGTTAACACTGGTCGATCCACAAGGAAACTTGCTCAGATTTATTTAACCAGTTTATTTATCTAATAAAGAATTAAATATTTGTTTAACTGGAATTACTTGTTCCAAAGTTCTGACTAGACAAGGTGCAGAAAATGCATTCGTCACATTTATTATAACTCTTGAAATAAGCCTTACGAGAAAACGTAAATGATTCGTCACATTTATTATAACTCTTGAAATATGCCTTACGAGAAAACGTAAATGATTCGTCACATTTATTATAACTCTTGAAATAAGCCTTACGAGAAAACGTAAATGATTCGTCACATTTATTATAACTCTTGAAATAAGCCTTACGAGAAAACGTAAATGATTCGTCACATTTATTATAACTCTTGAAATATGCCTTACGAGAAAACGTAAATGATTCGCCTGCTTTTCAGGGAATTAATATTTTTCGATGTATCCGAATGTCGCCCGTAGAAGAGGTCTTGGGAGCAGACTACATTGAACACAACATACGTCACGACTGCTTCCATTACGAAGACATGATGGAAGACTTAGAGAGAAAGGGGCATCACATACCAAAAAGAACCGACCGGGTCCCACCTCGAGAAGAGTGGGATAGATATCTTGTAGAGAAATATATACACGGCGCTGCAAACACGACGACCCAAGAACCAAAAACGAAACCGCCAGAACTCGACAAGTTATTGGACATCCTTTCGACTGCAAAGTTTCGCCAAGAACCTAATCACCCAAGAGAAAACTGTACCATTTTGTGACGGAACTTTCTTTTATTTAGTTAGATGTTAAACCATTCAACAGTTGGTCCAGATAATCTTGACCTCGGAAAAACACCAGCGTGTTTTAGTGTAGACAGTTCCATATTAACTCTTCAATAGTTACTGATTTAGAACTTTATTTAATTTAGTTAGATGTTAAACCATTCAACAGTTGGTCTAGATAATCTTGACATCGGAAAAAACACCAGCGTATTTTAGTGTAGACAGTTCCATATTAACTCTTTAATATTTACTGATTTAGAACTTTCTTTAATTTAGTTAGATGTTAAACCATTCAACAGTTGGTCTAGATAATCTTGACCTCGTATTTTAGTGTAGACAGTTCCATATTAACTCTTTAATATTTACTGATTTAGAATTATTTTCCTTGGATAGT